CCCCTCTCCTCACCCTTGAAAACACTGTAGCCTTCGGGCAGCATCCCGGCGGTTATGCCGTGCTAAGGAGCATGTATTTAAGGCGCTTTGGCCCATTGCCTATAAAATGCCCATTCAGAAGATAAACAAAAGCATACTTCAAAAATGTTAAACCCTCACAAACAGCTTTTCCCAAGAGGTCATTTGTGTTACGATTACTTGTATAAATATGCTTCCTGCTTAAAGTAAACTTGACCCAAGTGGCTAGCAAATTAGAAACACCATTCATCTTTGACATATGATACCGTTGCCCTGTAAAGGCTTTTAATAAGCCATTTAAATTTACTGTGAGACTGTATGTTTTAATCACATTTAAAAATATATAGCTCAAAGGCAGTTAAACTGATTAGCATCCAGCCACTGAGAATAATAGGATACGATGCATAATCGACTCAATTATCTACTACTCACACTACACTTACCTGTAAAATGAGATTTTTTCCTTTGTTTTCCACTGTACTATTTAGACATTTTTCTTTGAAAATGGGGATTCTTAAGCAATGATGTGGTTAATTGTGGATAAAACTGATGAGAGTGTTAGCTCATGTTTTATGAGGAACTAAAGTGATTAACTGAAAAACAATTCCTGGTTGAACTGTCATATTGAGAATGGAAGGACAGTGACAATTTGTGAAAGCTGGAAGCAACAGTGGAATCGAGGACTGAATCAAGTTAACACCGTTGTAAATAATACCATCCTGCGTTTGTCTCTACAGCAAAACGATTTCACAACTGTTTTTGTTTTTATAACTTGGATAACACGATTCTATGTCATATTAGTAAATCTTTGCAGGCAAGTTGGAGATAGTACAGTGTGGCTTAACATCTCTTGACTATGAAGATTTGGCTAGAAAAAGGTACCCGGAGAGGAAATCCAAGATATTTATAGTGGTCCATAATTTTTAGCGTATGAATCAAATTCAAGGATAGCATTGGCCAAGAAAATGTAAATACTGTTGCTAACAGATGAGGCAGAAGTCTGTGGCTTCAGAGACCCAAAGCACTGTAGGAGAAACTCTACTGTGACCTCGACCCCCTCAGGCCAGTCATCACCCGTGCATTCATTCAACGAATATTTATTGAGTGCCGGCCGTGTGCCCAGCACTGTGCTGGGTACCGGGGCCCCCGAGAACCTTGTCTGTCGGGTTTACTGCTGTAGTCTCTCCCAGGGCATTAGATTTGTGATGGGAGACGCTGTGGATTTTTTTCTTTCAGTCAAATAAAAACAGACTTTCGCAGGTTCCTGCTGGACAGACAGCAAGTCCCTGAAACCCAGGTTTGGGAAGAATTAGCACCCCCCGCATAAGATAAACCCCTATCAAAGTGTCAGAGGGCATAGCAAGGGAAAGCTGAGATTTTCAACTGCTCACTTTCAAATCAGGTAGGACCTGGTAGGAAGGCAGCGGGTAGCCGTTCCCCACGCTGTTAGGATATGCGCTAGCCCCTTAAACACGGAGCATGCCTGTGGCTCTCTCTCTTCCTTGAGTCGGCCTTGCAGCCGTCTGCCTGCCAGGTGCCTCTCATGTGGGTTCATTTTCAGGCCAACGGCTATGAGCTGCCTGACATTCTGTACAAAGCATCGGGCGTGTGTACCCATTTGATGGTTTCCAATGTGCTGGTGGAGCCGGTGGTGGCCTGTTTCCCTGGAAGGGATGGTAACAAAGCCTCCTATGGCCAACAGTGTGCACGTACAAAAATTAAGTGGGGCATCACATGTTACAGAAGACCGGGTCCTTGTAGAACGTGGTGCCTAGACCAACAGAGCTCCTGGGAGGCAAAGCAGACCTCGGATGAAGAAGACGCCTGTCATGTTACATCACTGTCTCTCTTTTTTTGCACCTTATGAGTATTAATAAATGTTCCAATAGGTAAAACGTCTCTGGGTTTCTCTGCATCGTGGTGTCTCACCTTCCTAGGGAAGGACTGCCCCGGCATCCCCGAGGTGGGGCTGCTCTGTTTGCCACCCTTACCTTGTCACCAGGTATGAAACTTTAAAGACTGATAGGAAAAGGTAAGGCAGCAACATGTTTCATTTTGTTTGGAAACCTGAGGCAATATTGGTGCTTTCCTGGAGATCCACTAGGGACATATAGTAAGGAAATTTGCCCCCTGAAGAGCCAAGCACCGTAACTAACTCGGTCCACTCTTCAGCTTCATCGTATAAATCATGCGAAACAATGCTACTATTGTAGAGCTGACCAGCTTGTGCTTAGGCAAGGGTACTGCGACCTGAAAAAAACTCAAAGACTTATTTACAATTTTAAGGCAATGGTCAGAGGCACATCTCTTGCATCTCAAGAGCCTTGATGTGGGACTATAGATTTCCCCAGCAGATTTTCTGAAATTATCATACTAAACAATGTCTTCTTAAATTTCTGAGTCTTGTAACTTCTTACTCTTAGGAGAAAGTACGCTGTTTCCTAGACCTCACGGTAGAATCAGATCACACACATGCACACTCACACACATGCATATACACACTCATATATGCACACACACACTTATACATGTACGCACACACCCATACTCACACATGCATGTGCACCAGTAAAAAAACATTGAGCCGTGTGTGCTCACTCTGCTAATTACATATCACAATCAGTCTCTCCATTTCCTTTTAAAGTTGCCTAAAGCAGTATTTTTCCACTATTTGGAGCTTGATCCACACTAAGAATGACATTTTCCATTACAACCCAGCACGGACATACTCTTTTACATACATACAATTGAAAAAAAGTCACAAAACTATATATGAGATGCACTCAGATTTTTCTATTATATTCTACTAAAATATGCTGGTCAAGAGCAATTAAATTGGGACACAACATTAATGGGTCACAATCAAAGTTTGAAAAATGGCTTAAAGTAAACATTCTCCTTCCCAAAGACAAGGCTCACTTAGAATCCTGTATTATGACGTCTGTGTTTTCAAAGACACAGTTTGTTCTCAAAGAAAGAAGACAATTGGACGTCCTGTTACCCAGAAACCACCTGTTCTAAGAGCTTGGTGAATTCTTTTAGCAGGTTTGCTACCAATCGTGCAAAACGCATGCAACGTGGCAGACTCCACAGGCACCCTCTGCTGCCTCAACGCTGGTCCTGGCAGATTCCCACCCTCCAAGCCTGGGCACTTGGATCCCCTCTCCTCGTTTGGAAGTCTCATCACTTTGGGCCATTCCCTCCCTGACTCCCACAGTCTTCACTTCATCTTTCTCTTTTGCCCCTAAATTCCTACTTCATAAGCATTTCTAAATAAGACATGAAAAGTAGGCTGAGACAGGAAAAAGCTAGAAACCCAGCCCCCACCACTTTCTGGAAATTATCATCTTATCTACCCTCTTATCTACCCAAAGAAGAGTTTTTACCATCCATGACTCAGTCACAAGATAAACGCCATTGCTTCTGGAATGCATCCTACCCAGGGACTTAAAAATTCTCATCTTTGCTGAATCAATTGAAAAAAGTAACTAACTCCATGCCCTAAATGTTTGAGGGGCTTGCAGTAGCTGAGAA